ATATATAAACAGAAATATAATGAAAAATAGTAAAACTTTTGAATTGGGTTAAAAGTGAGCACACTTGAGAGTAGTTCGCAAGACATTTGAAAATCTAATTTGAACTAGACCATCTTTGATCTCATTTTGACCAAGAAAATCTTGCCAATTCGTTGGTAATAGTTTCATAAAATCTAAAGACAAACTATGCAGCTATACAACTGTGTCCTTTTTACCTAAACCATTTTTCTGTGTCAATGTAAGTGAGAAAAATTGAAGCAACTTTAGGTGTAAAAACAAGGGGAAAAAAATCTTAACAAACATAAATCCAAAAACCATTAGTTTCAAACTTGTTAACCCTTTGTGATAGTAGACGAGCTATATAAGAGAGAAAATAATTAGAATATAAAAATATAAATTATGAATACTATTTATAGAACTAAAATATTTATTATTCAAATTGTATATATGAAATAGAGATTTACGATTGTATTGAATTTGTCTAAAAATTATAAACGAGTGATGAAGCTTATTTGTGTATAAAATTAATAGAACCACAAAGGGTTAAATATTTCTTTAATGTAAGCCTATAATGAAGTAGCAGACTCTACTGTGTATTCATATAAAACCTATCTAAAGATGAACTTAAAAAGTGAATACAAGCTTACGATATTATTCAGCAATCCCAATCAAAAGAATATTCTAATAAAACGAAAATATTTCAAATAACAAAATCACCTAATACATCCCATTAAATCCCAAGTTCAATAAAATAATACCATTTACTTACTAAACCGTCGTTTCGCATCCACCAATTATTTCACAACACGTCGAGCAACAAACCTGGAGGATGAGTCTGGTGTTCCGGAAGCGGGCGCCGTCCACTGGAATAGACGGCGGATCCTCTGCCCGAGTCAACGTTAGAGGAACTCTGTCCGGCTTTATCGTAATCCGAGCCAGATCCCTGGTTTTGGATTTTCAATCGTCCAATCCCATGTTCCAGCTCGTCTTTCTTCGACTCCGACTTCGCCACGGAATCCTTCGCATACTGGTTCTCGATCCTCTTCGATCCATCCCCATTGCCGATCTTCGAAACGGATGAACTTCTGGCGTCCGCATCGCCGTTATCTTTGGATACTTTCGAGCCGTAATGATTCTCCTCGACCCTCTTCTGCAACTCTTCGATCCTCTTCTGCACAGAGGTACCCTCGGATTCCTGGCTGTCTTGCCCGGAAACGGAGACTTGTTCCGGCTCCCGCTTCGAGCATCTGATCGCCTCGTCTCTACGGATGCCGAATCTGGTTTCCGGCCTGTACTCATCTTTCCTTTGCGAATCAGTTCGGCCGAACTCGCCTGGCCCGTGGTTCTCAACCGTGATCTCGTACTTTTCTTTATCCAATGGGTCTACAGTTAAAGGCTTCATCGAGTCGACGGCGTTCCTCGGCTGTTCGTTCATGCGTTCATCCTCGTAGCAGAGCTGTGGCTGGGAGACAGCTTTCTCGATGCCTTTCGTTGAGTTGCGCTGCTGGAAGTCCATCTCCTGGTTGCACTCTGTTTTTATGTAAACCTGAGGTACGCCGTACCTGGGCCGACCCTGCGCGTAATGGTAGTAAACCTCCTGACCCGAGAGCCTTAGCTCCTGGGTCTGTCTAGACGTACTTGGCAGGTCGATCTGCGACCTGGACATGGCTTGCCTGGCTTGTTGGTATTGTTGGTAGGACACGTTGTTCGAGAAATATGTCTGCTGCACGTTCCTCACGCCGGTTTGACTGTTCTGTTGCTGGCTCGCCATTTGCTGCTGATGGATTTGCTGAATCAGCTGTCGCTGGTGCATGTTCTGCGCGTGTTGTTGCGCGAACCGAGGACTCTGATGGTGGTTCTGGTTTTGGTGCAGCAGCTGCTGCGGACTTTGGAAGTTCTGGTTAGCCTGTTGTTGCATCGCGTTGACGGCTTGATGCTGCTGCAGAGGTAGACCGTGGGGTTTCTGCACTGGCGTGCTTTGGCCCTGGAACGAGGGAAGCAGTAGTTGAGCGAAAGAAGAGTGGTATTCTTTGGGAACTGCTTGGCGTGCGAAGTTCAATACAAGAAGGAAATAGGGATCAGTTTTATCAAACAAGTTTCGAAATTCAAATGTGGCGTTTAAAGTAATCAGCTTGAATTGACTCGACTCGTGAAAACGGCGATTTAACCCCTTGCCGTGTTGCTTACTTTTGCTACTAAGCTCGCGTAAATTTTTAGTATCGGCAAGGTGGAAGAAACGTAAAGAAACTTTCCATTCCACTGTAAGTGAAAATTTAATTTAAAGAAAATAAATTGGTAACAAAATAGTTCTTTGCTTTCATCTGTGGACAATGAACAACGTTGATGTTTATGTTCATACAATCAAACGAATTTATTTATGTTGAAATCTAATAAATACACAGTTTAGGGTAATTAGATATTTCTACGCAAAGTTGCACCCTCACAAGAACAAATTTATTTCATCTGCAAGGAATTTACTAATTAGATAAGGCAATGTTATTCGCTATTTATAACGCGAAACATAAGAAATAATATCTTTCAGCCATAAATCTTAATTTTAACCGATTCTAACAGTGATATCATATTCTAGTTTCGTCTACCTTTTAACTTTAAATTATTCTACACATAAAATGAACAACATTTACACTTTCGTTGCTTTAAAATCAAACGAAACACATATCGTTTTGTTACATTAGAAAGTACGTATTTATTTGATTCCACCTTTTTGCGCTGTGTCTCTCATATAACGCGAAATCCCTATGAGCGTATTTCTCGCGTTGCAGGGGGTCCAGCTATGATTCGAATACCGTTCATCGAAACAGATTTCTCTCATTGCTGGTTCGAACAGTCGTCCGTAGCACAGTTCGCCTGTCAGTTCGGTTCGACCGAGATGGACGGAATGATTCGAAATCAAAGTGACATTAGTGATCGAAAAGTGGTTCACGTGGCACAGAAGGAAATCGGAAATTACCTGGTTCTGGGAATTCTGATGGAGTCCTTGATGCAATTGCTGACTCGGCAATCCAGATGGTCCCTGAACAACGTATTCCCTCGCAATATTTTGCACCTGCTGACTACCACCTGTCGCTGATTGGCTGAAACTAGGAACTTGCGTTTGATGGACCGTTTGAACTCCTCCGGACGGAGTATGGTGCGTCACGTGGAGCTGCGCACTTTGACCTGGCAAATTAGGTTGGATCTGTGATGTCGGCTGTAGTTGTCCAGGAAGCGATACGTTCTGCTGATTGCCCAGGTAACTATACGAATGCCCATACTGACCTAAACAATCGGAACATCGCGTAAATACACTGCTCCACGGTTGCGATATACACGGTCTGGCTCTTATATTAACCCCTTACACTCGGAAGTTTCACACTGGAAATGTTTAACATTTTTTGACCAGACGAAGACGATATTCCTTGAAATTAATTTGAAAGGAAATCACGAATACATTGAGGAGCAAAACCATTTTATTCCAATATTTCACGTATCAAGGGATTATACAAAGTTCAACATTAAATATCAGATTTTATAGTTTTACCGTGTCAAATCAAATAGTGACTGAGAGTCGCTTTCCGAGTGCAAAGGCTTAACCTCTTGCTCTATGATACGACTATTTTGTCATTAATAATTCATTGGAAAAAGAGAAAAATTCCAGGTACATTTCATGTCTACGTTTGCTCTCAATTATAATAATTGATTACGCAAGAATAATGTTTACTTTGAATTCGAATGAATCTAATAATATTTATGTTTGTTAAATCATGCTGAAAATCTTTACCGCGAGACTGTCACGTTGTTATGAGACAAGGGGTTAAGGTAGCTGCAAAAGTGTCGGGAAAGTATGAGGAAAGCCACAAATAAGTTTGAACTAATGGTTCTATCATTTTTCAAAATATTCTCCTTCGGCGTTAATAAATTTTCCATTGTGCTGTGTCAGAACTTTCTGAATTTAAAACTGTGAAGCTTCATAAAAATAAACAACTGAACGGCGGCGTTGGTGTATTACAGCAAGAAATCGTTTCATTACTTTCATGATTATTGTTATATTCTCATTTATTACGTTAAACGCTGCATCGGTTGTAGCTAATTTATTTCCGTTTACTATTCGTGTATTCTACGCGAACAGTCAAGGATTGGAGGATCACTAAGTTGCAATCGACAAATTATTGATCTTTGAATTGCAACCTTATAATAAAAAGTACAACATTCCATGAATATTTTCTATAGATCATTTTTAATAATAAATTAATTTTTAATAATAAACAATTATTAATTATTGTTATTTATTTTTATTTATTATTGTTCACGTATTATTTATTGAATAGAGTTAAAAAAAGGTGTACGACCCAATAGAATTAAAACTTTAAACTCTAAGTGGTACTAACTTCTTCAACGACGGACTACTTATTTTTTTAGGCAAATCTCTAATTCTTCTTCGTGTAGCTTTAGTCTACCGTTAAAATATATTGTAAGTGCATTTAGCCTGCATTTGACGAGTACGCGTTCATTATTTGATTTTACTGCGCGCACAATAAGAGATTTTTCAAACTAAGTTCCGCGCTTAACGGGTGAAAGAAGGTATAGAACCGAATCATGTTTTAATTTATCCTCGAATTTCCTGGAAGCGCTAGGAGAAAAATATTGCTAAAACTACGTTATTCGATACGGTCCGCAGAGCGAATAGAAGTAACCGTTCGCGGGAATAGCAAGAAACTGCGAGGCGTAAGCGAAGGAAACGTTGATTGCATAGGAAGCGAAGACGATGCACCTGATGCGTGTGCTTCCTATCCGTGGCACCGTCGTCTAATCTAACCCGTGAACGCTTGTTAAACCAATTACTCAATTCTTAACAATGGATTAGTACCCTTTCGAAGTTAATGCCCTTTCCTCCGACAGAGAATACTACCGTTTCGATGATTTACGAAATTCCTGCTTATGGTTAACGTAACACACGAATTTAACGTTTAACATTTGCAATCTTTGTTCTGCGGTTTATCCAGTGACGAACAACTGCTGCCAATAAGAACTGCACAACGTGTGCAAGGAGTTTTTAATAGACGAACGAAACTGTTAATGTTGTATGCACCGTTATCATATAACTGTCTTGTCAGTACCGATTTATACTGTAGTTTAAAATTATTGGACAGTATCGTTTGTAAATTGTTCTTATTATATTGTTGAGACTGAAGTAATTTACACTTACATTGGGCATTGTCATTAAGCTGCTGCATGTTGGGAGAACTATAGTAATTCGAGGGATCCGATATTTTTATGATTAATAATAAGCAGTGTTATTTATTTATTTTGTTCAAGTGTATTATGTAACTGTAGACATTCATTAATTATGACTGATTAACTAATGATAATTTCTTAATAAATACATGATCGATTCACTGATGCTAATTTGTTACTAAATACATAATTAATCCATCGATGCTAATCTGTTATTTGACACAGATTAATTAATTAATCTAATATGAATATATTAAGTGGATTAATTCAATGAATACGTAATTGAAAGAGAACTTTACCGCAAGTGTTTTTTGGATACTGTTGCATATTAAGAGAAGGTTCCTGCGCTCGAGGTTTCCCGTAAATCCCCTCCTTCTTTTTGGCGTCTTCTTCATCGATACTTCTACTGGATTTCCTCAACTCCTCCGTAACGTTGTTCAAACTGGTCTCCGGTTCGGTTTCGATATCTTTACGGCTCTGCCCAAAACGGCTGGATATCATGTCCTTGATCGTGTGATACGTTCTCGAGAGGGACTTACTCTTTTCCTCATCGATCTTTGTGTTTCTCGTATTCGACGATGCTGCCGCGACTGCTGCCGCCACTGCAACAGTTGCTGCTGCTGTCGACGTGGACCTTCGAAGAAATCGCAGTTATATCGGTAAAATCAGTGAAAGAGATCGTCGATCGGTACAATCTAGGGAATATTTACGCGTAAGATTCCGGGGGATGATAACTTCTTCCTTGACCCTCCTGTCGCGTTTCTTGCATCTGAGTTCCCTGGAAAACGTATGAAACGCTCATTTCATTTTTTCCTCCGAGCAATTCTATTAGTTGGCACGTTGACTGCCACAGTGGTCACCGATGACCGAAACTTCCAAATTGCCGAAGAACAATTACAATAAAAGGATTGACGTTAAATTAAAATATTTAGTAACGTAAGTAGCTAGATAATAGTGTAATATGACTATTGTAATATCAACTCATTAATGATTATTTTCAATACCATTTTCCTTTGTTATTAAAAAATAAGTATTATTATATAAAACGCTAGAAATTCCCGTGGCAGTCAGCGTGTTTCTAATCGTTCGAATAAATTCGAAAGTTTATGAATTAACTTCTGAATGCTCATTTCAATTTTTCTCTGAATACTTCTATTAGTTCTTAGTCGCTTAAAATTTTTCTAAAAATGTGACAATCCCTTAAATCATGCTTTTTATATTCACGAATACAAATCGGGTCCCCCGTAATATAGAAACAATAAAATAATTAAAGACACTTAAGTTATTGTACCAAGTTAATTCGGTTTAAAATAAATACAAAATATACCAAAGTATAAAGGAATATATTAAACACAGTTGTTCAACGACATAAAGTCAATTCGCAAACTGAACATTTTCTATATTTGTTTTAGTATGATAGTGTGTGAAACATGGAACAAAGAAAAAAGGCACTTGACAATTTGGACATTGATGCCTGGTCTCCTTCTGAGTTCGTATTATTTATTACGTACTTATTGATCGACACAATACCCAAGAGCCAACAATCTACTTTCAAAGATAGCGAATAAGTCCGATTAGAATACATATTTATTTACTTAACCCAAACCTGTCATTCTGTTCCCGTTGAGAAAATTAAGAAAAATCATACATACAACTCTTTTAATGTTTTTAAAACAATGCTTATATTTTATCTTAGAGTGTACGTTGGTCTCATGGGCCAATAACGGTTATAGTGTAATATTTTTCCTCTTGATAATCAAAGGTTGAACAACCGATCGTTTCCAAAGATGTACCAATCATTACTAAATTATCATTACCGTTAAACTGTTAGGAATTAATACGTAATTCTCACATAAATATTCATAAAAAAATTCTTTGCCATTTTAAAAGATTGAGTCTTCGTTTCCGAGATATAAACTGTTGAAAATTGAAGGTTTCGACTTCCGGAGCGCGCTGTTTAAATCCCAGTCAGCTGAGCGTTGGTCTGCACGTACGTGCACACACAATCAACGAAAGGAGGGCGATGCCTCCGGTGCGAGTCATTTCCTCGTGCATCCTGCCACAATTTGTCCATGTTTTTAAACGTGATCCTTCCTTTTTCAATATCGTGCATACTCATTCTTGTTCATTTGATCACGGTATACCTACAATTTTTCCGTATTCGAAGGAATTACATTTGTACGAGCGGGTTATATATCGATTCAGTAGAAAAGCATGAAAAATGTGCTCAGGGAAAAATTGAGTGGTATAATTAATTAACAATAGAAAATTTACAAATTACTAATTACTAACTATTAGTTACTAATATTCAGTTACTAATTACTAATAATATGAATAATTAACAGTTATTTACTTATTAGAAATTATTAGTTACCAATAATTAATTACTCACAACATGTTACTAGTAATTAATCACTAATCGCTGATTCAAAGTTGAACGGTACAATTAATTACTCTACTGAGACTACCTTTTGCATACGTGCAGCGATGCACGATGCATCCAGAAAATGCAAATGCAGTTCCTCTAATAGAAGTCTTCATTTATTTCTACTTATGTCGATTTTTTAGAAAATTTTACATAAAAAAGGCGATAGAGTATAATTTGTAAGAAATCATGGGCAAGTAAACATTCCTGTGCTATCAACTTCTTCTTGAACACTTTTTTTTCTATTGCTTGCCAAACTCGAGATATAAACCGTTCTAACTCCGTGAACTACTGTATATAAATCAAATTTAATCAGCCAACCACGACTAAGGAATACACAATACAATCATATACATAGATAACGGATCTGCATAATTTAAAGTGGTTGCCAATGACCCAACTGAGTTGACGCAATTTCAAATATGCAATAACAAAGGAATTAAAGTAAAACATACATACTGAACGCATAACACAAAAACATTGAAATGAAGCACTTGTAAAGTGTTCGTTCACGCAGAATCGTAATTTATTCATTGTTACGAGGAATCCTTCGATACGATTCGATCATTTCGAATACTCCGTATCGATTATATTAATTAAGTTAGATTTTCACGATAGCCTCGTATTAATAGCAACGTTGAGCGGCAATTATATTTTACGACCGTACCGACTTTCACAATCTAAATATTATTCTAACTATGCAAAATTAATTCGAACAGCTAGATTAGAAATCAGTGTACAAGGGAATGGTGATTCGAGTAAAATAAGTGTCCCGAAGAAACGTGCATACACTTCGAACGGTTATAAATATAATGTTTATGAAAATATATTTGAATTTTATAATCCAAGCCGAAGAAAACCAGAGTGGAATTTTTTTTAATTATCCCTAATGTTTGATCTGAGGTTCGTTCTGGTTCAGGTGCTACCAATAATCTCGGACAGATGGAATTACAAACATCACGAATGATTTCGTTTGGTATTTAGGTGCGTTCTCTTTTAATTACTGTTTCCAACTGTAACTGGCAAGTATTCGAGAGCAATTTTCTTGTTGTCATAACCTTGTACGATCTACACATTTCTCGAAAATTCATTGCTATTATAAATTGTAATATCATATTGTGAAATTAAAATATCCCGTTTATTTTAAACTTCAATTTACCCATCAATATTGCAATTATTTCACATTATTGTTTTACTTAGCAAATTTATTTCAATCTTTCGATTTCATTTTTCTATAATTGACGTGAATCTCAATTACATATATGTTTATAGTAGATATCATTAGAGTTTATTAACGACATTATTATTTAGACATGTATATTATAATATTACGTGTATTTGATTATTCCCACTTACTAAATATTTGTCGTTTGATTTCATCCTTTGGCAACTGATGCCAATCTGTATTATATTCCCTGATATTATCGAGTATATTAATAAAATCATTAATGAAACTCTTGTATTATAATCACACGTATGTAACTCTTCCACTTTGTAAATTTATTTGAATCTTCGCTTTGATTCTTTGACGATTGTCAACCTCTGCGATATCCCCTGTTATCATTAAGTTTATTAATGAAATCGTTATTTAGACGTCTATATTATAATTACACGCGTTTGATTATTCCGCTTATAAATATTCTTCAACGTTTGCCAATTAGCGCTGGTTTCTTTTATACCTCCCATTATGATTGGGTTTATTAATCAAATCGCTATGTACTTAATAAATCTTGTTCCATTGACGTACATATTTTATAAGTGAAACGAACGTTTCCCATGAGAACGTAATAACAAAAGGAAAAAGGTCTCTCGATAAAACTTACTCAGATCCTCTGAAAACAATTCTCTATCGACGGGGACATCGGACGGTTAATGGCAGCGTGTTCGTTTAAACCGCAGGGAGAATTTCAAAGATGTCGGACTGAATCCTCTGATTCGTTGAAGAGGATGCGGTTGGAATAACAACCGATATTATCAAACGAAAAGGAGGAGGAGAGAGAAACAGAGAGGCAGAGAGAGAGCAAGGGAGAAAGAAGTGCAAGTGAAGTTGTGCTCATAGGGTTCGGCGACACGCTTTCCGCATACGAAAAAAGATATTCTGACTTATGGCCCTTCCAACAGGTACCCTCTGGGGATTACATTGCGCCAAACCTAACATGAGGATTTCACGGTATGAACAGCTTGACTAGAATCATTGTGCAATCTTTAAAAAACGGTGAATATTTTTTAATAGGGAATATTTATAATAATTCATTAGAAGAATGGAACTTTGTGAATAATTCATAAAGGCAGGATAAAATTTAACCTAACAGGAGAATTTTGCAATGTGAACACCTTCATTAGAATCATGTAAATTTTAAACAATTCTATTTCTATTGGACACGGTGTATCAGAGTTCAAACAGATGTTTTTCATTTATAATCAATTTTTGCGAACGATTTTTGTTTCACTTAAGAACAAAAAATTAATTGATTTTTTATTGTACAATGAGAGAACATCTAAAGAGATACTTATTTATTTTTAAATACTGAACATTAGTTTTCCATTGCAATCATTTCCGTCTTAAAATCTTCATGATAAATCCTCGTAAAAAATTGGAGAATTTTCCATGCAAAAGTAACGGAAAATTTATTTGTTTGAATTGAATTAACGAACAGACGATCGAAAACAAGCTTGTTTAAATTTTCACACCTCACCTGATAAATTCTATTTTTTGTTCGAATGAAACCCACGACTTCCTGTGAAGTAGCATTCCAGTAATGAATGCGAAATATCTGCATAATTGATTAAAAGGTAGACTTCAAATTAATAATTATATCTCATTTTTCTGAATCTTTATAAAAGGAAAAACTTCATTAAATATGTGTGTGTGTGTTTTGTGTTTATTAGTAAAATTATTTAAATATTAGTAGAATTGAAGCATGGTTCCAATTTTAATATAATACTGGTTATTCTCCAAAACAAACTATAATGGGCCATAACACGGACACTAAACGTGAATGACTAAACATAAACTGCAAAATAAAAATTTACAATGGTCGTATCACATTTTGTTTCAGTGCATAGTACCCTATAAATCAATGACCAATAAGAAAAGCATTAAACCGGTAGTAAACCGGTTATGGATTAACACTAGAACTACCGAGCATTTAATGCGATTGATATGTAATCCCTATAAAAATTGTAACAATAGATTATTTTCGGTTTCTTCGGACGTTCATTATAATATTCAAGTGATACTATTTATTTACGAAATCATTTCGAATATTCGATGCTTTAAACATATCAATAATTGCAAAACAAAAATAAACGAAACTAATCACTTCGATTGATACAGTAGTTCTAGTGTTAATAACAAATTATGGAATGTGAAAGGAATGTTACGACAAATGTAAAAATAATTCCTGAAATACTTTCAAAATTGATGTAGTATGGAAACTTGTGAAACTGGAGCACAAAGCGTCAATTAACGACGCAGTAAATACAGTTCTGACGATTGGTATTCGATGATAAGCTAGTCGACGGTAATTAATATCGTAATTGAGCGCACTGCCTCGACAAATGGATGTTGATTCAAACATCAACACCGAACGTCGATTGGCTTTCCCCGTTCTAGAAACATTTGCTCGAATATCTACGCCGATAACAGAACTACATAGAGATTCTAAATACATCGAACGTCTACGATCGGTTTCTATAACTTGAGAAAGGAATAACTTCTTAACATTAGCAGCATAAATTCTTTTACCTTTCGTAATATAAATTTCTAAATTATATGAGTATATAATGTTATATATTGAATATAAAGTATTGCACGTTAATATTAAATATTAATATTAAGATGAGTATTACTATAAAATTGTATGTTGAATTTTATATGTTAATATATTTGTATATGTTAATTATTATAGATATATAATAGAACAAAAATATTGTCAATGTATTATACATAAATAATATAGATAATAATAAGAAATCGAAATAATTCTGCAAAATTATGTTTTGTTTGTACCTGCCATCGATCATCAGTTGAGTCTTCAGCTTATTAATGTGGAAGATTACGTTATCAAATGAGAACACTTTCGTTTTGAACTATGATTAGTCAATACGTAGGAAGGTTGCAGTAAGTAACCATATAACGATTTTATACGTTAATTCGTGTAAATCGATTGGAATTAAACAGAAGATTGCTCACTCCATTAAAAGTTTAACTTCAGTCCCATAATGGTTCATTATCAAAAAAATTGATTATGTTTCTATAGTAATGCAATAATGTCAAATGTTCATCAAAATTCATTAAAAAATAATTCACTATCATTTACAGTAATACAATAATGCGAAATATTTATCAAAATTCATTATCTTTTTACAGTAATGCAATAATTTCAATTATTCTTCAGTAAAATTCATTATAAAAAGTTCATTATTCTTATCAAATAATGCAATAATCTCAATTATTCTTCATCAAAAATCATTTTAAAAAATTCATTATTTTCATCAAGTAATGCAATAATTTCAATTATTCTTCATCAAAATTCGTTATAAAAGATTCATTATTTCTTCCGATGATTTAAAAATTCCAGTACTCGATGCATTTAGATATTATTAAGAAACAATTTTGTGTCTCGACGTGTTTTTATGTCACTGTATCGTTCTGCAACCTAAATAGCCGTGGTGGAACCGCAATAAAACAGAAGAACCAGTTTCGATGCGCTGTTACGCAAATGTCAACACGTGGAACAATATTATCATGAACCGTGAACCTTATGAGACACGTTAGGCATTCCGCGTGGTCATTCTAGAAATCGATCGTTTAATTAGGTCGAATTACTACGCGCCAAATTCGTTGAGAAATCGTTGCCCTTCATCTCCCGGAATTAATTAGCTATTCGGTATCTGTTAATTCGCGGGTCCAATCCAAGGAGGAGCTATCTTACAATAGTAACGACATTCTAAGATACTAACTCTTCGCGAATGGACATTTTTAAAACTTTTAACAACTCTTCTCGTAGAAAACTGAAAATGTATTAAAGTCTTAACACTAAAATTATCGAGCAATCAGAGTGACTGAGTTCCAATTTTTCATAAAAATTGGAACGTTCCGTTTTTCGAGATTCGAAGGATCTCCTAGTCTTCTATCTGTACATATATACAAGTGTAATCGGAAATCTTTCGCAAAAACGGCTTCATAAATACTTGCATAATAAAACATCTGAAGTGTATCAATTTGACCTATCCGATAGTTTTAATGTTAATACTCAGCTACCACATGAAAGAAGAATTATAACTATGACCTTTTTCATTAACTTTCATTGAATTTAATGAATAGATTTCATTACAATTTGGGTTTCATTAAAGTAAGACGGGTTTTTAACCCCTTTCCTATGATTTCTTTTTGAATTGTTATCGATCTAACTACTTTGTTACTAATAATTTATTGAAAATAAAAGACAGTTCCACGGTTATTCTGTGTCAACGTGTGATTTAAGGTATAATCATTGATAACAGAGGAATACGTATTAGAAAAAAAGAAAACCACATGTCAATCTTTCGTTATTTGAATAATGAAATGATTTATTCACAGCTTTCGATTTCAGATATGAAGGCTCGAAATTACCATTACAGTGTTATTCGACTGCAAAAGGTTAAAACTTCTATAGAAGGTTATGTTTCAATAGAAACGATTTAATTAAAACTGTTATTGCTGTATTAAACTTACACAAAAACCCTCAAATAATCAAATCGACCGTTTTGCATTCTCTTATAGAAATGATAAAAGTGGATTTATCGTGATCTTGGTTCACTTATGTTCTCGTTTGTTTATTTGCCAAGTTAATTCATTTAATAATCCCTCACAAAATGCAGTCGCATCTTTTCTATAATTATAAAAAATAATCATTTACTTAGATCGCTGTCTTAAAGTATCCGTGTGACGGTGATTCGTGACATAAATAATTGATACCAATTTCCTTACAAAGACACAAAAACTGAATATTAATTTATTAATTGATTTAAAGATTATTTGAACGAAAACCCACTTTTCCTTTCTCAATATTCATTAGATGTATCTGAAAAGTACTATCGACAGAAATAAACAAAGAAACAGGTTTTGTTCTTTCGAGACATTTTTTTAAACCCGTTTCTTCAGATGTTTCCCTTTAGTGGGACAACCATAGTGACGATTTATGTGCACAATAAACAAGTGAAAGGAAACAGCTAATAGATTACGTAACACCTACATTGTTCATACAACAATAGTGAGCCTTCATGATGGAAAACGTTATCCAGGTAATTTCGTAGTCGCGGAGATCGATTGATAAATTATCTTAAAACAGTATTACCAATACATACTAACATTACTTGAAATATGATTGAAATCTAAAATCAGTGAAAACTCGAGTATTCTCGCATTTTTCGAATCTAGTATACGTTTAGTTAATATAAAATAAAATAATTAAATTAAAATTAAATTAATTTCGGTGCATATTTACTATTTCAATGATAAATTACTGTTATACAATTTAAAATTCTGTATAATTGAAACAAATATTACATTTAAATAAATTCACAAAATATATTTACTTAAATATACACGAGTTGAATCTCCAAGAAATAATATTTTACCGTCACCAATTACCGAAGAGTAGCCATCATAATTGAAGTTTGAAACGTCAATATTATTCGCCGGACTAATTAACCGTAATGAAATAGTAATGAATCATAAATTAAACTATCGATGAAATAATATTCTTAAAAAGTCAAATTTATTATCCAGAAAAATCATTGAATTTTGGTCCGAATAGAAGTCTAAGTATGTCTTCTTGATATTTTATGCATAACCTTTAGCGCGTTTATCCGCGTATGATCAACGATCGCGGAAAAGTATTTTGTAACACGTGCATTGGCGATACCCACTCGCATTTCCAACTGTTCACGGACGAGCGTGCTGCACGGGTGTGTTAGTTGCATTCACATGACTCAACCGCAACTGAATGAAGCGTTTCGTAAAAGAATACAACAATGAGCAAACTCTCATTAACTCCTTACCTGCATTTTCACATAAAATCTCGTCGAGAAGTGTAAGTTGAAAAAGACAGATTTTTCTCATTGCAGTACCAGCTGATTGTGATTTGCATTATGAGAATTAGAAAATGCATATTTTCGAAAAATTGTGCAATGTGACGAGATTTGTATGGCTTTGGTATATGTGTACACCGGACATAAACGTTATAAATAGAAACAATAGGTTCGTGTGTTAGAAACGTTTCAAATTTTGAACACAAGTAATTCGATATTTTTTAATAATTAGATAAGCCATGGATTTTTATACAAACTCAGAATCTTAGAGAGATTTTAATTCTCGTGTTTGAAGTTTCATCGTATTCGCAATGACATGTATGTACTGTTGAATATTATTAAAATTCTTATCTTTCATTGTATCTTAAAATCACTTATTCATGATTACAATAATACTAACATCTGTATTTATAAACAACCGTGTATTTATTTAAAATTAAAGATCTTCTGCTTTCAACATGTCATATATTCTAGATCGCAATAAATCACAATTAAACGAGTTTAAAGTCAATAAATTCTGTTCACAACACGACAAAGTAAATTAGCAACTTTCAAATGCATAATGTAGTGTCTTCTACTAACACTAGAACTACCGAGCAGTTCACATGGTTAATATGTGTTTCTCATAAAAATAATAAGTGTACATTTGTTTTCATTTCTGCTGATATTCATTATATTAGGTAAGTGAAACTATTAACTTTCAAAATAGTTTCAAATATTTAACATATTTATAATATCAGTGATTGTAAAATAAGAAATTTAAAACCAGTCAAAATGAGTGGTATGATATCTAGTATTGATCTGTTGCAATTAATCAACAAGTTACATTGCTTGGAGCAGTCAGAATATACGACGAATACGGGTAAGAAAATGAACTCACTTCTTGAACCCAAGCTTGTTGCTTAATTGGCGCATCCGGTGCAATGGCAACTCTGCCGGCAGTTTTTTGTTTGTACTCATGAAGAATTGGGATTTTCGAATTCTTGTCGCCCGATGACAGGACTACCTCGCGTTCGATCTGTAAAGAAAGAAATTGGCATTTAAATTTCTTCACCAACGTGTATGTTTTTCCCTGACATTTACAATGTTCAATGCGTGAGATTCGATTTAAAATATGTTTCTTTTGAAATACAATTGAAAAACTGGATTGTTCATTGTAAATGAGAATGGTCTTCTGAAACACTTAACACTGATACTACTGAACAATCAGAGTGACTTGTTCCCTGCTTCTCATAAAAATTAAAACATGTTTCTTGATATTCGAAGGGTTTCCTAATTTTGTATCTGTGCAAATACACGACTTTAACTGACCATCTTTCGCAAGAACGCCCTCATGATTTAAATACCTGCAAAAATAAATATTCTGTGGTCAATTTGACCCGTCCGGTAGCTTGAGTGTTAATACATACTAATAAATAACGCGGAAAAAATAGTGATTCGCGGGTATAAGTATAAACACAGCCCTCAACAGGTTCGCACATAAAGATAGACTTTCTCTCATTAACAATAAAACCCTGTGAAAAACAAAACAAGATTAATCAGTAACTTTATTGCGGGCTTCATTTCATTATCCATTGTCCACCAACAAAGGAATTGATGGTCGATCAAAAAGTCACTCTCGAATTGATTCCATCGAGTCGCCCCGAGGAGCACAATCGAGCGCGGTAAATAATTGCGTAAGTATAACGAAAGGGGGAGAGAAAGAATAAAAAAGAACGAAACGGACGAACGTCGCAGGAAATATACGGAGAGAACCTGGAATAACGTTGGCGTTGGTAAGTACGAGCTTAAAAGACTACGTTCGGAGACGTCGTCAACGGGCGCTTCTCATCATAAACGTCCCCCGTCGGTTAAAGTCTTGCGATATCCATTTCGATTTTTCCAAACAACATCGAGAACAGGATCTGGAAGTTCGCTAGGAGAACTGGCGAACAAGTGGTTCGCCGGCTCTTCGCGTGCATATAATAATGCATCTAAAAAGAGGTGTCACTGAACTAAACTCGCCTTGAGATCGTATCGCGGTCAGAAGAAAGCAAGCGTGATAAAACGAGCTGCGGCCAGTGGAAAATGAGGTACCAAGGCCTAATCGTTGCTGCCACGTTTATGAATAATTCTATGTACGCTTCCGTGCGATTTTCTATATTATTGCCGGCGACAAGGAAGGAAAAGAACGCGCGAGAACATTTTCGCGGGCAAACGGCTAGGTTCGTTGCCCGTGAAACGGGTGCACCGTTACGTGTTGTCGGTATATTGTGTTTTAAAATGCTCCTTTATTATGCGCCAGGTTTCGAATGCGATTAACCCCTTACCCTATGATTTGCTTCTGAACTTCGAACGATACGACTGCTTTCTCATTAAGAATTTATTGGAAAAAGAAGAAAAAATGTAGGGATATTCCATATCTACGTTCGATATTAACGCTAAAATCAGTAGACGCGCAGTGCGGCCTTCTGTGGACAAAACCCTAAAATTCGACTGTTCTGATAATGAAAATTGAAGGTTACCAATGGGTTGCTAAGTAGTTTCTGATATAGAAAATGACTTGTACTTCGGAGAATAAACATTTTGTGTAAATAAGTGCCGTTTCTCTATTCATAGAACGTTGTCATTTAAAATATCTAAAATATCCATTGTCATTTAAAAAACTTCATAATATGCATATAATGTAAAAGAAATATAACTACCATATACTTAGCTATATACCTTACAACTTTTGTCTGTAGCATTTTTCTTTATTATTTATACTTTCTAAGTTATTGAATTTTGTCCAGTAAACAGGCGCTTGACCGCATTGTGAGACTGGTCAAATTGGGCGATTTTAGAACGTTTAGTTTGCGAGTATTTAAATGATGACAAGGCTTCTGCAAAAAATTGTAAAATAAATTTGTATGTTTGTACAGTTACAACAATAAGGGACCCAGCAAATCTCGGGAAGTGTATTGTTCTAGTTTGTATATGTACTTAGAATTAAGTCACTACAATTGCTCGGTGGTTTTAGCGTTAAGTATAACGATTGATTACAGAAGAATAATATTTACTTTGAATACGAATGAATCGAGTGATACTTATGTTTGTTAAATCATGTTGAACATCTTTGCCACAAGTCTGACACGTTGTTACAAGGCAAAGAGTTAAGGTAAAGCCAGTAATTGACCTGGTTTCGGTAGTGAACCATTTTCAAGGAAACGTGCAGAATAAAGTTTTCAATCAATTAACTGCGTTTGACGAGTACACACTTCAGTTTAATTTCCCTTCACAAATAAAATTATTAATTTGTATTACTTAGAACTAGCAATTTGTATTACGCACGGAATCACTCTATTTACTCTTTTTAGAACAAATCTTTCGCAGTACAGGTCGGTGGCCAATTCTAAAAACTTGAAATACACTGAGAAACATTAAATCCGGTTTCTAGATCAGATGGGAGCGTTGGTTTATTGCTAAAGAATAAAGGTCTTCCGTAACATAAATTTCTGTCGTACAGGACCGCGGGATAACGTGATATCATGATTAGGGGTTAAGATTACATTCTATCTATACCAATAACTCAGAATAAGGTTAATAATGTCCAGAAGAGCACTTAAAAATATAAATCCTTCGATATCTTCAAATCTTCCAATTTTTCAAATTAAAATTAGCAATTCCCTGTGAACGAAAAATTCAATTGTTCAATTTAAATTTATAAAACGATGTTTTCGTGGTGCAGTGTAATGCGAGTGATAAATCACGCGTGCCTAGTTTTCCGGGTCTCCAAAGTATATAATTAACACTGATTTACATCGAGCACGATTCAAAGAAATTTATTAATTTGGAGATCCCAGCGAAGTAATCAAACGTTAATTAACGAATTCTGAGGATCCGATTCGACGGCAGTTAACAAATACATAGATTTTAGTCTTATTAAGCGTTACGGCTTCCTGTTACACGTTCACGTGGTCTTTGAAGATTCCGCCGGTTTGAGTGCCTATAGAATGAAAACTATCAAAATGATATGCGTAAGAGTTGTACATGGATCTGTTATAAAGTTTATACATTTATACATATTATAAAATGGATATCCAGAAAAATGTATTGCAGTTTTTGTTTTATCTTAGCCGAAGGAATTTTGAGCCCAATTATATAATATTTCGTTAAAACGAAAGATTCCACGGACGTTTGCAATTTATTCTCTGTCTTGAAAATCGTAAGATTTATTAGTATTCGCTTAGAAAATGCTTATGAATAATTGAAGAACTTAGAAAAGCAATAGTAACATTCAGAATTATATTCTATTTGTTATGTTGGCAATAATTGTGACATTTTCGTGGTACAGTGTCTTCTTTCAAATATGATGTTACGGAAATATCGGATTAAAATGCACAGACACTGGAAAATTAGATCGAATATGGATTATAGATATGTCCATCCTTATATAATTACACTTTCTTAATTGCAATATTTGAACGTTATATCATTTTATCGAGGTGTTATTTATTTTATAATGATAAACTATTAACGGTATATTATTTGTTCTACTGGCATCTACAGTAGAACCTCGATTAACCGGTCTAACTAGAAAGAAAACAAGTCAGATAAGTTACGGTGCAATAAGTAATTGAGTAGAATCGCCGAAGAAGAAATTATCGCCAGCAAATTTAAATCATCACTAGCTTTTATTTGTGTAGACGCTCGCAAGTGTTAGTTATGAGAAAGTAACACGAGCGTTCTGGACATCATAAGCGAAACGAGTCTGGAAACTTGTGAAGAGACCAGTTCAATCATTCTAAATATATATGGAAAATATTTAAAACGTGTTCTTAGTAAAAGGTTTTTCTTTATACATTATCGAATACATTCATTGCAACGCTCTTGAATAAAGTAAATAAAGTAAATGAAGTATATGTAATTTTCATACTAAACTGATTTATATTCGATTTATTTAGACTTTTATTAAGGCTTTTAATTAGCCTTTAGAGATCAACAATACGAAAAACATGTCTATTTAGACGCAGTACTTACGAGTTGTAAGTTCTACAAGTTACGTTATCTTAAAATATATTATTAAAATTCCCAATAAACATATTATCTCCTTAAAACATTATAAATTATTTCTTCATTCGTCCATATACATGAAACACATTTATATAATTCCATTTATGTACTTAATACACTCTATATATGTACATACATACTTATTCCAAGAGCACGAATTAAACATTCGAATTCGAATAAATTAAATGAAAATGAAATAATAATATCAAGAAGCTACATATTTATACATTCACATTTTTCTAGAAACTCACATCTGGATCGTCGCTATTAACTTCAGAATCACTATAAGGTAAAAAGAGAATGAACCCATAAAGTCTTAATCATACTATGAAATAACCGTTAACAACCTTTAAAACAAAGCTTAACCGAGCTCACGTTACAGCGATGGGATTATAAAATTGAAGTGCCAATGATAGAAAGTGAAACGACAACGCGGAACATACGAGATTAAAATTCGACGAATGTGATTCGTGGTACAGCAAATTACTGTAATTAACAGTATCGCAATAGACGATTGCATTTAATTACCTCCGAGATAATAACCTTTAACAGACAATAACAAGAGAAACCCATTGACAACTGTTTCCAAGATTTCACAAAAGATTCGGTAATTCGCAAGCGGTTGAGTGTGCTGGATACGTAATATCAGCGTAGACAGAATCGCTGCTGAGGTGCCGAGGCAAGACAAAAGTCTGCAACTCTGGGGACAGTGAAGTTGTGTAGGACGCCATCACAAGTGTTCCGATTTGTTCTCGCCTCTAAGAGACCGATACACAAGGAAAAGTAATGTATCTAAACGGCTATCGCAACCCCCTTCCCGACTTCCGGTAAACGGTACGCAAGTATGATGCCTCCTTTGTCTCTCCAGAGGATCTCTGAGAATTTTCCCAAGAACGTAACGTACTACACGTACAACGAACTGTTACTGAAGACACCGTCGAAGACCAACTTCTAACCGAGACACACAGTTGATGTAAGTTTGCATTG